ACCTGGCTGATGCATGTAGCAACCAGCCTGTCAGTCTAACTGATACCTTTTTTGACTTCAGGACATTTCTTGGAGTTTTGACTTGTTTTTCTAAAGCACCTATACTGTAGTATCATTCTGCTAGTCTAAAGACCGCTGAAGACTGTGGGAGTCTTACTGTTGCCTTCAGTGGGCTCTGAGTCACCACCAGCACTGGTGGCCTAAGACTTCTTCTGTCTGACTCCTGCAGGTCTGGTGCATTGCATCTTTTTACTGCTTTTGTGGCTGTTGGGGCTGTGTTAATAGGATCCAGCACCTCTTGTTGAGCAATTATACAGATTCACTCATAAATGAACTCTGACATTAAATTCAAATGCGAAGGCCTCCCAAATGTAGCTTGTGAACAAAGGTCCTGGTTTTCTCTGATTAAAACATCACACATTTGCAAATTCTCTGATTTTAAAACCCCCAAATCCGTGATTAAAATGAAAAGCTACCAGTGTGTGTGTGTGTGTGTGCGCGCGCGCGCGCACACACACACACACACACACACATATATGGTGTATGACTCCGTGCCTCCATGTGTGGCTTCCCACCCAGCCCAATGGCACACAGCTCCTGGTCCATATGTGCCATTGGGCCGGGCTGGCCCTCCCCGCAGGGCTTCCTGCGGACATCTCCCTGCTCCCTCAGGGAAACTCTGCCAGCCACAGAGAGCTCTTTGTACACATGGAAAATCCATGTGTGCAAACCGTTTAAAATGAAAAATCTACTTTGTTAAAAGGGAAAGCCTGCAGTTTTTTTCATTTTTCCGTGGGAAATAGAAAGCCCGGATCCCTGCTTATGAATAGGTTTACGAAAATGGTTGTTGGGATTTCTCTTAATTACTGGTTGTATATTAATATTGTCTCGCATGTAACTTTATTTTATGCAGTGCTAATGTTAATCTCTTGATTTAGCCAAATTGAGAAGTGTTGGTTATTATGTATGGGGTAAGGAGAACTTGATTATCAAAAATAGTAGAGAGGCAGGGACAATATTTTGAGTGTACACACAAGACACAGCTCACATGTTTGCTACTAATTCATGTCTTGAACAAACATCTTGTATATAAAAATGAAATTCAAACATAAACATGTAAAACAATAAAAATGTTACCATTACTTCATTTACACTGATGGCTGGGGGAGAGGGGTTTGTTTTTTTAAAACACTTTTTAGTAAAAGAAAACTTTGAGCTCATGTCCACCACTTGGGATGTTAGACTACATTATGCTACTAGGGTGTTTACTAGATGTCAAAATAACAGTATTGTTTCAAAGCTGTTCGGCATTGATAAATCTTTTAAAAGTGACCCCTACATTGCAAACGTTTACTAAGGCAGCAGATTCCTTTTACCAAACACTGCAGTGATTTGTGACCTATTAGCTATCGCCTAATTTCCTCCTCCCACCCCATCCCTTAATATTCAATGTGTTAGAAAAACTTTTTTTGTTTTGCTTTGACCAAATACAAAAACCACTGCCTTCGCCTGCTGGTGCTGTTCCCTTTGCTTGCTGGTTTTGGCTTGGAGACATTTCTTCTACTGACTGAAGTGGTTTTTCAGCTTGAGATATTTTTGAGGAAATGTTTTGATGTTTGCTCTGTTGCTCAAGGCATCTTTTGATTAGAAGTCCCCCTGGCATTGCATGAGTCAGGAGTTTCCACCTAAATATTTATGTTTTGCACACATCCATCGTCTTAAATTCTGTACCTGTAGTTTGCAAGAAAGGAAATGGATTTGTAATGTCTGACCATGCTATTGCTCTGTTTTGACTTTTCTTCCATGTGTAATAGTGTCATAATAGCATATTATGGTAGCCACTTCCAAGTTAACTTCATGAGGTTTTTTAATTACATTGGGATTTGACTTCTAGTGGTTTCCTCCCTCCCCCAAATCATATATATATAAAAAAAGAAGGTTGTTCTATGTATTTAACTGTGTGTGTGGAAGTGAAACACCAACTTTTTCCCTTTGAAGAATAAAGTTTAGAACTACAGGATTCTTTTTTTTTTTTTTTTTTAAATGCTGAGGACAAGACTTGCATTTCTGTTGAAGAAAAAAAGTAGTGAAACATATGGAACTCTCTTTTAGCATATGAATGATTTGGTACCACTAAAACCTGTTTATGGGCATGTTCTATGAATTTTGTGTAGTTTGTTCCTTTCTTTCCCCATTTCTGTTCTGTAACTACTATTCTCATGTTCTGCATAAGATTATGGATCAGGCCAGTAACAAATGGAGTACTGTTTCAATAAACTACTTATAAGGATATTAAAATGCATGTGAAGGTCATCTCCTAAAATGTAATGATGTCTTCAAGAAAGATTCATTGAACTGTAAACGTGCTTTCTCAGAGTGCAACTGCAAAGTGTGTGTGTGTGTCTTTACACAGTAGTATACTATTGCTACCCAAAATATCATTGGTATGTTATATTGTATATTTGTTCCCTCAGCAAAAAAAAAAATGTTTTAAAATTGTCCTATGAACCTCCTTTCACATGCATTCTCTTAAGGATGTGCCCAAGACTGTAGTCCCATAACTGCGTAAGCGGTAGTGGTGGCAGTAGACTTCAATCGCACTACTCATGTGAGTTGTTATGAACATGCTTATGCATTTACAGGATCAGGGTCCAGTTTGTGTCCCCTGCCACTCTACCTACTTACCCCTTTTTACATGGGATTAGTGCATGCATGCTTGCATAGGAGTGTCTGATGAACAGTACAAAAATCACAGTAAATTAATAAGAATGGTCTCTGGATGTCCTCAAGGTTTAAGATTAAAAATACAGTCATCAGTGTACATCTGTGTTAATTAGGTCAAAGTAGAGGCTCATATGTTTAAACTTAGATTTATTTTAGTTGTTTTTTTTTAATTAATAATTTGTTAAAGTGCCAGAGTGCTTAAGAGAGGAAAAAAGTTTTAGTTTTAGCTGAACAAAGGGCCCTGAGTTCCTGCCTCTGACACTGTGTGCCTTCTGCAAAAGGAATACAGAAGGGGCAAAAACAATCTGGACTGTTTGTTGAAATGATAACTTACTTCAGGTAATAACTGCATAGCAGTTAATATATTTGGAGATCTGCGAGTCGAGAGAAATGTTAAAGGAGTGCGTGGTTATTAATGGTGAACACATGCACTGCTGTCACAGTGGTCTGTGAATCATCTCATCTCTACTTCCTTTGGCTAATATCCTCAAGTCCCTTGACCAAAAATGAGTACAATGTCTAGGGTTATTTGGGTTGACAGAGTGGGGTGTGGTTCTGTTCCAGTTGATTCAGAAGCTGATGCAGCCGTGTTTCTTGTGGAAGTTCTCAGGGCAGCAATCTGAGTAGAGTCATTTGCATCAGGACAGTATTTTTATGGAGAAGGATCTTCCCAATCACTTGATACCTCCTGGTCTGTTTGGTAATGTTCCTGAGCCAGAGTACAGGGACTTCAGTTTGTATGTGTGGAAAATAAATAGGCTGTCATTATGCAGGTCAGATTCTCCTGCAAATGGCAAACATGTACAGTTATTGGTCAACAACTGTAGCATGACCTTGTGCCCCAGTTGGCTGAAGATGATATAATGCCTCATCATAACTTAGGTAGACTCAGGCCAGAATATATTTAGTGGTCTAAGAGTCAAATAAGGGACTTGAATACTGATTTCATGCACATCATGGCAAAAGCCGTGCTAATGCACAGTAGAATTAGTCTACTGTGCATTAACATGGCTAAAAAGGTGTGCGCTGGTGCTACTGAGCAGTAGTGGCAGTTACTGCGCATTTAGTTAGTACCTGTTATTACAGGTGCTAAACTTAATGCGCAGTAACTACAGCACATTAATACACATGTAGACATGCCCTCTGAAAACAAATCTAAGCTGCTCTGTTAGTGGCTTACTTGCATCTGAATATATTCTGTCTACTGCCCACTTATCACAAATGAATTAGCCAACTTTCATCTGACTCCATGCCAATACTTATTTTATCTTTATCTTTATCTTTGTCCCTGTCTTTTTCTTTGTGTGCCATAATACCAAATGTGCCCCAACTAGAGGACTGCTGTGCTGTAGGCTTCAGGTAGCAGAGAGCAAAGGGAAGACCTGGAGAACGGGGATGGAGAAAAATGTAAAATTGAGGGGAAGATGTGTGCAGAATAATAGTACTTCATGATAGGAATCCAGTAAAGGTGTCTTGGCACAATAATAATTCAAGGTTAGAAATTTCTCATTATTTAATAAATGTTTAGAGCAAATGCAGAACTAGAAACAGAAATTTCTAGGGCTGCTTTTAACTGATTCACCAAATTTATATTTAAAATTAATACTTTGTGGGAACTTGAAGCTCTGTTCAAGTGTTGAAAATCAAGACAGTACAGTTATAATCCTGTTAATTATGGCAATAATCTTGACAAAGGTACTGCAGCTCCTAAAGAGGCACAAGTGAATAGCAAAGAAATGATTATTTAATCCCTAGTCGGTCCAGGATTCTATCAAGTCACCTGTTTTTTTTTTTCTTATTATAAAATAATAATTTATAGCAATTAATTGTTACCAGGATGAATTAAACT